TTATTTTGAAAAGATATGTTACACAGAGAATAAGTCTTGAGTCTTTCAAGATATTATTGGGTCAGGCTAAAATAATTTCATTGTGAGAGCATTTTCCTTCTCTGTGTGCAGTCTAAGTGCATATTTTGTGCTCTTAGGAATAACTTTCCAAAGCTGTGTAAAGAATGTAGCAATAAAATCTAATAAGAATTATGGCTCATGACTTGAATGATGTCAGTACCCTTTTAATCCTCCCAAACATGAAAACGTTTTCTCCTAAATAAGATTTCTTAACTCTTTATTTCTAAGGAAAATTGCAGAGCTCTACAATTCTACTGGCAAAGTAAGAGTTAAAGGAAGGTGTTTTGTTCCATTGTTAATACTTAGGCTTGTTATTAAGATAATCACTTTAGAAAAGAAATGTATCCTAGACAATACTATTTTTGTGAATACGTATCCTTTTATCTTTTTTTTTATATGTTACATAACATCAGACGATTTCTAAGTTCAGTGTTTCAGCAATAATCCTTTGTTTTCTCTTTAAGCCTGTGGTTCTCAAACTTGAGTGTGAATCAGAATCACCTGGAAGACTTGCTAAAGCATAAATGACAAGTGCTCATTCTCAAAGTTTCTGATTCAGGAGGCCTGGGCTGGGCACGAGAATGTATATTTCTAGTAAGTTCCCAGGTGGCACTGATACTGCTAGTCTGGGGATCACACTTTGCTATTAGCAGCTTTATACCATTTAACCTTCTTATCTTACAACTTAATTTGATGGGATTCAGTCATCCTGAAGCATGTATGTCCCCTTAGTTTGGAAGAAGCCGAAGTTCAGTAAGTTATCTATAGTTTGGTTATTTGGCCACTCCAGATTCATTTCAAGTCAAAGGACTGCATACAGAAAAGCATAGCTGATGAACAGTTCGCTGCTTGAAGATGTCAGACTGTAGAATCTCTACCGGTAAGTGTGTGATTTCTTTAGTGACATCACATTTGCCTGCAGAGATTTTCCAGTCTGTCACTTTTGAAGTTGTATTTAAGATGGAAAAAAGTTGTCTTCTTTCTACAGTGATCTTTCCAGGAAGGCTAGATTTTATTTTATTTTTTTTAAATTTTTTTTTCAACATTTATTTACTTTTGGGACAGAGAGAGACAGAGCATGAACAGGGGAGGGGCAGAGAGAGAGGGAGACACAGAATCGGAAACAGGCTCCAGGCTCTGAGCCATCAGCCCAGAGCCCGACGCGGGGCTCGAACTCACGGACCGAGAGATCGTGACCTGGCTGAAGTCGGACGCTTAACCGACTGCGCCACCCAGGCGCCCCAAGGCTAGATTTTAAAACTACTTTGCCCAAGATTAAAACTGAATGGGAAAACAGAGTTATGGTTGGGGTTCAGACAGGCGTAAGTGAGAATAGATACTCTGATTCTGGCACACATCTCCATGGAGAATGAAGGAAAATGGAAAAGTGAACCTTCCCAAACCACAACCAATCTCATTTGTAACAGTGTTTTAGCCACACTGAAATCTTTATGGTCAATCCAAGTGAATATCCTTGAATTTCAAGCAATTTTATCTAATGGTTAGACTGTGCAATTGGGTTTCTCAGTCTTTCTTAATTTGCACACATGCCTAGCTAATCACATGAGAGATAAGTGGAAAGAGGGGGTGTGCTTCTCAATTATTTTCCCCATCTCTCTTCTACTTAGAATAGCTGTTTTAATAAGTAACATTACCTGCTGCTAATTTTTAAAATGGTGGAATAAAGTGTAATAAGCAATGTTTACTTCAGAGGCTCAATAATCTGTGAATATCATGATATCATAAAGTTTATTTACATTGTTGGGATTTTTTGATGTTGTTCATTTGTCAGAACATACTTTTTGATCAATGTTAGGTGTAAATTTATTTCACCATTTGGCTACAACAGGGACTTTGTATATTTTTGTTCCCTTCTGTATCCTGGCACATAACAGGTACTCAATAAACATTTATTTAATGAATGGACATCAATTTACTTTTTTTTTTTTCAAATGCTTATTTACCATTAGAAAGGCAATAGAAATATACATCAAGTCACATTTTATTAATATCAGAGTGAACATATTTAACTTCAAACCAGACAAAACCAAAACATTTAAATATCAAAAATCTATCTTGGTAATAAAGAATATTCCTGGGGCGCCTGAGTGGCTCAGTTGATTGAGCGTCTGACTCTTGATCTTGGCTCGGGCCATGATGTCACAATTCGTGAGTTTGAGCCCTGCGTGGGGCTCTGCACTGAAAGTGTGGAGCCTGCTTGGGATTCTGACTCTCCCTTTCTCTGCTCCTCCCCTGCTTACTCGTGCTCTCTCTTAAAAAGTTTTCCTGATAGTCTAATGGAACTTAAAAATTTTCCCTGATAGTCTAACAATGTTATATTATGTTTTTCTGGCATGTAGTTTTATTTCAGATGATTAGTTTTTAGTCCTGGATTATATCCAAATTTATGTAATGAATCACGAAATTAGGTTTGATTTTGTTTATACTACACAGCACAGTGTCTTGATTATCTGTTAATCTGCAATATACACATCCTTTGACCTCAAGATGACTTTAAAAGCATCCTATCAATTGCATTCTGACTTTTCTAGATAAACCATAAATACAAACTTAACCTAAAATCTCTCATAAGTGTGCAGAGGATACAACAGGTGGCTCTGATCTGATGTGAGTGCAGCTAAATAATGTGTTGAAGTAATTGGAGTTTAGAAAGATAAAAAACATCTGGTTTCAAAGGAGAACATTTCCATCCATTTTACTGCTTTTTAGAGAGCTACATCATTCTGGGTTATGTAG